CCGTGGCGAATCCGGTTCCTCGGTAGACGACCCGCCAATCCGGAAGGATACAGCGCCTAGAAACGACCGACACGGATTCTCCTTCTTTTGGGCCAGTCACATCCAACGCGCGACCGTTCGCGCGCGGCGCGGCTAATAGATTCCCACGCCCAGCCAAACAGGCCGCCAACCACTGCGGTCGCAGGCTGCGCTGGTGCCTTTCGCGTCGGTCGGTCGAATGCGGCGAATTGTGGCATTGGTGGCTCGCGCGGAGAGTGCGCTGTGGCTCGAGCCGGGCAGAGCCTGGGCTGCTGCAGTTGCGCGCTGGCGGGGGGGGAGGATTTACTAGGCCTGGGTCGCAAATCGGGCTCCTTGATTAGCTCGTGCGAGTGATTCGCGTGCCGAGTGTCCAAGGTCGCTGAGCCGCGCCGCCGCGCGCGGGACGCCCAGCAACCGCCGACATTCCGCAATTTCCGAGAGAGCAAACACACGGCGACTGCTTCCGGCATCGTTGCTGCCTTTTTCGTCTGAATTATAGGCCGGCAATGGCGTTCGGACTTGATTGGCAACAGAATGGAGAATTCCGGTCCGTACGTTTTAAGGCTGTATCTCCGGATTGCTGGTGTCTACAAGGAAACAATTTCGTACGATGATGGGCGAATGTACTGTGTCCAAATACGCGTAGTAAATCGTAGGTATTATAAGGCTAGTAAATGACGAATTTCCCTTGTTTATTGATGTCACACTCCTCCCTATTATCTACTCCTGATTAAATTGATTTAAAGAGACATCATGAATTGGCATCTCAGTTCCTAGCATTACTAATATACTATAGTAGTACTAGTAGTAATTACTTGATCTGGTGGTAGGCTCTAGCTAGCTAGCAGTTTCGCAGTGGTAGCAGGTTAACTGTTTCAAAGTTATAGCAGTTGTGCAGGCTTTAGCAGTTTCAGACAATCCTGGTGGTTGACATTATTATGTTTGGGATGTTTCCATTATTACCTTAAACTGCACATGGATTTATTTTCTACTGTGAACAAACTATATATATATAAGTGTAATTTTCATATCGTTTTAAGAAATAATTGTACTTTTTATTGGCCGAACATTGTACCATGTACAGGCTACTACAGGTTATCACCACTAGTCGATGCTATATAGTGCTTACACAAATTGTATTATCTGCTCTAGATGTCAGACAAACTCACACGTATCGCTATTGTCAGCGCGGATAAGTGCAAGCCAAAAAGATGTCGCCAGGAGTGCAAGAGGTCATGCCCTGTTGTTCGAATGGGTATGTATAATAAGCTTGATGATGTTTTTAAATAACGAACAGGTTCTGATGATAGATAAACTTCATTTATAAGCACTGCCTTGCATTGTATATGTAGCAGTTATCCATAGCATGATTTGTTATTTATATGGAACCAGAGATTATCTTAGAATGCCTTATATGGATTTGTGTATTACATGATTATTGGTATTAATGTACACATTTAATCCTATTGACATCAAATGATTATTTGTATCACCTGTGTTAGCTTCAGAATACAAACTATGCTAGCATACAAACAATGCAGGGTACAACAGTAAAATCAGTGCCATAGTTAAGTTGGTTTTGCCTGGAGCAGGGGGGGTGCAAGGCCACACGCGGTTTGTATTCTAGGCAGTTGACCGTGGGTGGTTCGCCGGTGGTTCGCCGTTGGGCGTTGGTTACTGATCATGTTTAAGTACCTACATTGATACCTAAATACGTGGTTAATGCTTGCGTAACTGTGAATACTTGCATCAAAGATCATATTATACGGTCTTTGCTCGTATGCATTCGTGTGTGTTACGTATGTTCATGTATGTCTGATTGTACCGTTATGGGATCTGTATGCGGTGCTGCACAGAGACCACTATTATGGTAATGTCATTGAGTCCACACATTTATAAAGATACGTGTGTTACCACGAGGGTGGATGAAATATACCAAAACATCTGCGTGCGGAGATCTAGCACATTTCTAATCTTTTAGATGAGGTATATCTAAATCTTGTAAACAGCCAGGCATAAATAAATGTTTTACAGTCACTTTTAAGAGGTGGTGAAAGTGAAAGAGTGTGCTGGAATAGTCGATATTAAGGAGAAGGCAAGAGAGACTAGGCTTCAGTGGTTGGAGTACATCCAGTGGAGGGAGAGAACTCAGTCTCTCAAGTAGACAGTTGAACTCCTAGTTTTAGGAACGGAGAAGCAACCTTGGAAGACCAGGCAAACGCTAGATGGACAACATAAAGGAAGGCATGAAGATGAGGGCACTGAGGAAAGAAGACGTTGAGGACAGGATTGAATAGTGACAAAAAGTTTGCTCTAGGCCAAGCTACTAATGGGGGGGGGGGTGACAAGAAAGAAGTAGTCAATTCTAGGAGTTGCTGCATTAAGTTTTTATTGGCCCAAAATTAGGCACCCTAGCTTTGATATATTTTCCCCACCTAATCAAATGTCATCTTAATAAAATAATTGATAACTGAGATTTGCTGCATTTGGAACTGAAGTGGCAGTGGGTGTGGATACTCGCAAGGCCTGGGGCGCATGCCCCCTTTAACTACTGCCCTGAAAATATGACAGCCTATGCGATAGTGTCAGACCAATTTCTTTAATTATTATAGTTAAAAGTTTTTCTTGGTTTGGACATCGTACAATGAAGTAGTAAATTGTTTAATACACTTAAGCAAAGTAGGGATATTTAAATACATTTATAATGAATACTGGTCAAAAGCAGATGGTAGTTTAAGTGGTAGACATATTTTAACCATATTATATTTTATGTTAACAGGAAAGTTGTGCATAGAAGTAACTCCAACAGATAAAATCTCCTTTATCTCGGAAGAACTTTGTATAGGATGTGGAATCTGTGTAAAGGTGAGTGTGATAACAATTGTTAACCTACACACCAGATTGCAACTGTTCATCAAAGAGTAGTTTTTTATTTACCATCACTTCCATATATTCAAGCATTTAATTTTGAAGAGTTTTTTGAATGGTATTTATATATCTTGTTATGTGTAGCATGATTCTCAGGTTTCATGTGAAAATGAGCAAACGTGTTGTCTCTTAAGAAATGCCCTTTCGAGGCCATATCGATTATCAACTTGCCAAGTAACCTGGAGAAAGATACAACTCATCGATATAGTGCCAACTCATTCAAATTACACAGGTAATCTGATATATTCGTGAGGTTATAATTCTATAGTTTGCCTGAAGTATATGATACTTGCAAAAATGTGTACACGGAAACAGACAACTTTAACCACGTACGACGTAAAGCTTTATCAATTTTTAACCTCGTCATTTTGAACCTACCTTTAATGGGCATGTTTTTATAGTGGCTTTGAAATATATTATTATTAGTAGTAGTGTTACTGTGTAATGTTTATTATTATTATTATTATTATTATTATTTCAGACTGCCAATTCCAAGACCGGGCGAGGTCTTGGGTTTAGTAGGCACTAACGGTATAGGGAAATCCACAGCCTTGAAGATTCTGGCAGGCAAGCAGAAGCCTAACCTGGGAAATTTTACTGTGAGTGTGATACTCTCATGTTCAAGAAATACTGGTCTATATAATTATGGCAATTAAGGCCCATTTTAAACTGCTTTTTGTTGAATATCATTTAGATGCCACCAAAATTTTAGGTACACCTAAAGTTATCACTTGTAAAGTGAACACTGTGACTGAGAGGAAAGGATAAGGAAGAAGGAGGGAGAAAGGAGGGTGGGCAGTAGTAAGTGACTGAGTGAGGGATACAGAGAGAGAGAGAGAAATATAGGAATGTGCATATTGATGAAATATGAGTGACTGACGAATTTTTGTGACCTTAAAATATTTGAACTGGCATTGTTATAACTTGTGGAATAGGACCCTCCGGACTGGACGGATATTCTGACATACTTCCGTGGATCTGAACTACAGAACTATTTCACCAAGATTCTCGAGGATGACCTGCGGGCCATCATCAAGCCACAGTATGTCGACCAGATCCCTAAAGCTGTGAAGGTACGTGTGCGTGGAAGGGGGTGTGCCTGGTGAAAGTATGTCAACATGCATGTGTGGGGTGGGGCATGCCTTGTGAAGGTATGTGTGCACATGTGTGCACATGTGTGCGTGCGTGCATGTGCATGTGTGAGTGTTGGGGGTTAGGGGCGTGGATAGTGAAGGTAGTTATGTACCTGTGGGTGTGTGTGGGGGGGGGGGGTACAAATTCTATTATTGAGTTATCATAAGCAATGTTTAAATTGCAAGTATGTGGAAGCCAGTGCGGGGATTAGTGTGTCCGTACTACTACTGTCATGCTGCATTTGTTCATTCATCTGTTTCTAGGGTTCTGTGGAGGCACTGCTTAAGCGTAAGGACGACACTGACTCCCGAGATGAGATATGCACTCAGCTAGGTAGGGTTAATAGTCACTAACCAATAATGTTTTTGTAGTTAGCAGAGAAAGTTCAGTGTCTACTCGTGTGAATGTTCATATACAAAGTCACACTGCTTATCACAGTCATTAAAGGAAAAAGATCCGGCATTTAGGTACTATTAGATAGTCTCAGTTTGTCCCCGAACTCCAACCACCGATTACGGAAACTGCCTGCACTGGCTTGTTAATCAGTCAATTTGGAGAGTGCACACTTGCTTTGTTGCTAAAATTAATAAAGCATTGCCAGCACAAACTGATCAATGATTTTTTCCTGTATGGTTTGCTGGAATTCACACATGCCCACAGTGTCAAAGCCAGATACCCTTGCTGTTATCGCGTCTGATTTGCCCATCAGATCTACAGAATGTTCGTGATCGTAATGTGGAGGACCTGTCAGGAGGAGAGCTGCAGAGATTTGCAATCGCGATGGTTTGCGTTCAGAAGGCTGATATGTAAGCACTGCTCACACGTATAACCCCTTACAACGTCATTCATGTACAAAGTAGCAGCAGATCATTTCCTTACTGAGAGTGTAGGACATCATTGAGTAAAGCGTTCAGAGTTTTAGTTGCCCTTCTTTAAATATTATTCAAATAGACAAAATAGACATTTACCCTGCTTACATTACTGGTGCAAAATAACCTAACTTCAAGAACCAACACTATTTATGACGTGCAGGCTTAACCAGTGGTGGCGAACTAACCACAAAATACGTGCGAATGTACAGCAATAGTTAGAGTGAAAAGGCCCAGGCCAGGATTCTTTTCTCGCATTCACAATATCTGTTCATTAGCAAGAGCTCAGATTTCTTCTGAACGTAGCTTTTAGGTAATAAGAAAAGACTGGCAACTGGATTTTCATGTACAAAGATCAAGAAATAGTCGTGGAAAACGATTTTAATTGAAGTAATTTGCTTTTTACATTTCATAATGTTAGTTGTGTTTTTTTAATTCAGATTTATGTTGGACGAGCCTTCAAGTTACTTGGATGTGAAGCAACGTCTAAAGGCTGCTTTGGCCATACGCGCACTCATTAGACCAGATAAGTAAGCTTGTGCAGACATGTTAAACATTTCCTCTCTGTTGCCATTTCGTATATATTCTGCTTAAAAGAATTGTGTGTAAAAACATGGTGTTTTTGAGTGGCGAGTTCGTGGTATGCTGTTAGCTCTCAGGCCACTTATTTCAACTGGCTTTATATTCCTTAAACTTGTTGGTTTGAAGTGGGAGAAATGTGTAAAAACATTTGTAATACTAGTGTTCATGTTGCTTTGCACTGCTATGTATGTATCATTCACTCACGTGCCGTATTGTGATATTGCTGCAGTTATATCATCGTAGTTGAACACGATTTGTCAGTTCTGGACTACCTCTCTGACTTCATTTGTTGCCTCTATGGTGTGCCAAGTGCCTATGGAGTTGTCACAATGCCCTTCAGTGTACGAGAAGGTAAGATTATTAACCAATAAATGATTTTTTTTTAATTACATTGACGGTGCCGTATATTATAAAACTGTATTTGTTATAGCAGGTAGAATGTAAACAAATTTATTTATCAATTATAATATTTTTACTGTGCGATGGCGCCACTAGTGCAACAGTTAATTAAAACTGCACAGGTTCCATCAAACTGCATGCAACGCCCCTTCGCTCACTCAGGATACCACTGCCACAATGCTAGCACTATTTTTAAAGTGGGCGGAGCTCAGGGGAAATCTAGCGAATGGAGATTCGTAAACAGCGTATGATTTGAAAGAGGTAAATGGGCCCACAATCCGCGTACTATTTCGTATCACTATTTTATCAAATTTGTCATGAAATAACGGTCAGATTTTTAATATCTTTGTAACTTTTATTAGTCAAAATCTTATTACATAGGATACGAGTAACGTGCCTGCTGTAAAACTTGTAGTAAAAAAGCGTTACAAATTGTAACCGAAATCTACTTGTGGCAGTGGTAGATTGAGCCCATGAGCGAGAGCGCCATCTGTCGTGGAGTTTGAGGTTCCATGTGGTTCTGCTGGTTCTGAGGGATACTGGTTGACCCATTTTGATTGCCTTCCAAATGATTTGCTGGCATAATATGCTGGTGGGCCAGTGATAATTTCACGCCGTCATAAAATGTTCATTGTTATCAGTGCAATTTGCTTTTATAATTGCTTTGAATTGAATTGATCACATTTAATTAAATTCATTACATTACTACTATAGAAATAACTATTACGTATATGTATATATATAAAAATGGTTCTCCCCAGGCCTGTAATGCATGTCGGCTCCAACGTGTCTTCCAAGCTGAATCTAAGGCAACAATTGAAAAAATCTTTGTTTGCCTTCACCCGACCCAGGCTGAAAAGTTTGGGTAGGTAGGTAGGCTTTTTTTGAAAGGGGTCTTTTTACAAATTCAGCATGGGTGTGCTTGTGTGGAGATACCTTTTATGTTGAATGTTTGTTTTGCTTGATACATATAATGTATTGCCTACAGATTTATATAATGTACAATGATACAATTTGTAAAAAAAAAATGGGAAAGATCTGTAAAAAAAATTGAATTTTTTGGCGGGTCGGTCGGGTGAGGGCAAACAAACAATATTTTTATTATGGCCCAATTTGTGATATCCCATAAATCCTGTGATATGAAGGCTATTGCCCAATCGACATGCATTAGTTTCCAGCTGTGTTTAGTTTTGACAATCCCAACACAGTTATGCTGTGTGTTTTCACAGCTTAATGTTCACACCTCTGAATTTGTTGAGTTTCCCTGTGTATTTGGGATGCTTATGACATGCGTAGCTGACTCCAATTCGAAATTGGGGGGGGGGTAAATTTCCCGATTGCGTGACTCGCCCTCTGCATTTCCTGTAGAGAACTTGTTTATATGTATATTTGTATATAAAGAAGGTTCTCTATTTGTGTGTCCCCCAAGGGGGGGAGCGAAAAGGACTCGGGATGTTGAATTTGGGGGGTCAAGGGTCAAAGGTCAAGATGTGTCAATGGAGGGGGAATATTTCCCGCTTAACTTAAGGTATAGGAGGAAATACGGAATTGCAGCACAAATCTCAACAGCTCGACCTAGCTACGCTCTTAATATTCGATGTATAGTGTGATGGGGAGGAAACCCATCACCAACGCAAAATTGGAGGTCACAGGTCAAAGGGCAGTTGGTGAAAGGTCAGATCATAAATTTTCTGAGGACATGGTCTAACGGACCGAGTGCAAAACTTTTTTGTTTCAGCGCTGACCTACCGTTTTTATGACTTTATTGAAAGGACCATGAAATCTACTTTCTGCTGACGTGCAAAGAGTAAGTGTCTGATAACGTTTTGACCCTCAAGAGGAGGGTTAAACATGGATTTGTTGACTGTTAACAAAGGACTGAACTGCTTTTGCTACTAGAGCCCCCTCCACCCCCCTCCCCCACCACCGCCACTACGCTCGCGCTCGACGCATATCCATGATAACATGTTAATATAGCGAAGTCCTTAAAGTTACACAGCTGTATCTTTATTACTGTACTACCGGTATAGCAAAGTCTAGCTATCATAGATTTTAGGTCTGTATTAGTAGTATCCTAGATATATGCTCTGAGCGCGAACGCGGTGGCGGGAGGGCGCACTTGATTCGGTTGCCAGTGAGTTTATCAGACGAATACCCGGCTACAGTACACGTCAGTTGAGCGCTGTCGCTCTGCGGCACTTGTTCTTTGCAGGCATCAACATATTCCTGGATGGCTTTGTTCCGACGGAAAACCTTCGCTTCCGCGAGTCATCGCTCGTGTTCAAGGTGTCAGAAACGGCAAACGAGGAAGAGGTTAAGAGACTGTGTCACTACAGATACCCATTCATGACGAAGAAGTTGGGTATGTAGCATCAGTATACACAAACGTAAACAGACAATCGTATACTAGCTCTGTGTCGCTCACCCAATGCTGATTATAGAGTTACATTAATAATGTAATCGACATTGGGTGAGCGACACAGAGTTAGCATACGATTGTCTGTTTACGTTAACACGTGTTCAACCATATATTAATAATATATGGTTGAACACGTGTTAACAGTAACCTTTATAGAAACTTGGCATCTGTCTACGAATGACACTTGCACACGTCTACCCTGAGCGACCCGCAGAGACAGGTTTGACTGCATCTTTACTTTCGTTCTATCCTTCATTCTATCTTTCATTGTATCATTATTTCTGTTATTCTAGGAAAGTGTTTCAGGAGATTGCAGGAAGAAATTGAAGCTAAGGAAACATGATTGCTTTTCGGTGATGTTTTTTTCTCAATCTGTCACAGGCAATTTCCAGTTGACAGTCCAGTCGGGAGAATTCACAGACTCGCACATCATTGTGATGCTCGGAGAGAATGGAACAGGCAAAACTACTCTGATTCGAATGCTGGGCGGAAAGCTGTCGCCTGACAATACAAGTACGTGACTGTTTTTGCATGTGACAGGCAGTGTACGTCAATGTATGTGAGGCTCAATCTACATAAGGTTAGGGAATGGGACAGGCAATGTTCATGGCGGTCAGTTTATGTGACAGCCACCGCGATAGGCAGTGTACGCAAGGGTCGTTTTATGTTATAATCAGTGAAGTGTTCAGTTCCACAATATCTGATTTAAAGAGCATCCTAAACGCTATTATCACGTGTACTTTTCTTTAGATTGTCATCATTGTTAGTAAGTTGTGGTAGAAAATGATCATCATTTATCTTGGCTTCTTTATTTTCCAGTATTTTCGCTATGTTGACTACACAGAGTGGGAATTTACAACCCACAGCAGTCATGTCAAGCATTATTATCTAAATCCATAAATTATCGCTAATTGAATTAATCTCGCTCACAGCGGACATGCCCGTTCTCAACATCAGCTACAAGCCGCAGAAGATCAGCCCCAAGTCGCAGAACACGGTGCGGCAGCTCCTGCATGAGAAGATCCGCGACGCCTACATCCACCCGCAGTTTGTTGCCGACGTCATGAAGCCGCTGATGATCGACCCGATCTTTGATCAGGAGGTAAGTGTCGTCGCCGCGATGCCAGAGCTGAGGTACGCGTCGTCGCGGCGACGCTCTTGCCGAAGTGCTTGTCGCCGTGACGACGAAGCTGAGGTATGTGTCGTCGCGGCGACGTTTATGCAGGTTTATGTCATCACCACGAAATTGAGATACTTGTTTTTATGGCAATGCTGAAGCTGAGATAGATGTTGTTACAGCTATGCTTATGCTGAGATATGTGGCATTACGGTCACGCTGAAGTTGAGATACTTGTTGTCATGCAGGGCATGAAATTAGCCAAAATGTGAATAGGCCCACCCAAAATTTTAAACAGGCCCTTAGACAAATTGAACAGGCCCTTAATTTTGTTCAATTTATTCCATTATGAATAAAAGTATTAGCTGTGCGTTTATTAGGCATATTCGTAGTATTTCAGTATTTCATTGCTATCAGTGGAGTTCTACTTGTTTGACAGGAATTGCTGGGACATTATTTACTTCTTAGTAGTCACTAAATAAAAATTAATCAGGAAATTGGTAAATATTGTTGATATAAAGGCAGGATAGGCAAAATTCTGAATAGGCCAAGTGCGCTGATTATATGGGGGGTTGAACCGGCGGTTTAGGGGGTTGAACTGGCGGCCGTGGGCAAAATAGTGCTAATTTCGCGCAGTCATGGCAACGCTGAAGCTGGAATAGGTGTTGCCACAGCTCTGCTTATGCTGAGATATGTGACATTACGGTCATCTAAAGTTAAGATACATGTTGTCATGGCAACGCTGAAGCTGAGATACAACATGTCGTCGTGACCGCACTTGTGCAGACGTGTTGTCATGGCGACACTAAAGCTGAGGTGTGTGTCGTCACGGTGACACCAAGCCTGATGTACATGTTCTCAAGGCGTTGCTGAAGCTGAGGAAAACAGGATGATTTACGAGTGTCGTCATAGAGACGTTGGGACTGTGGCCTGTGGCCTGTGGACTGTGGCCTGTGGCCAAGCCCAATCAATGTGTAGCTGAAATATTGAAACTTGTAACCAGACATCAAATGGTTTTTGTCTCACACATTCTCAGTAACTGAGTTGAAACGAGCGATTGCAGCTACGTAAATCATGAAGTCGTGTTCATTTTTGTAAAATGTAGGTCCAGAACCTATCTGGTGGTGAACTTCAGAGAGTTGCCCTGGTGCTTTGCCTAGGCAAGCCGGCTGATGTGTATTTGATCGATGAGCCTTCAGCGTATCTCGACTCTGAACAGCGTCTGCATGCTGCCAAGGTCATAAAGAGGTCAGTAGTCATAGAAACAGGTGACATTCTTACGCGTTACTAATGTTATAACATAGGAACACGTAATAAGATATTGTCTGTAAAGTAAAGATAGAGATTCATTTATGGACTTCCTCCTTATTTGGTGTTGATGCCATTGATTAAAGATTGTTTTAACTATCAAATATGTATAGTCACGCCAAACTCAAATAAAAAAAATCAATGAAATGTCAGCAATATATCCCTGCATTGTGTTAAGAGTAAGATGGTCGTGTGTTATTGTGACATACTTGTTTGCACACAGGTTTATCTTGCATGCGAAGAAGACAGCGTTTGTCGTGGAGCATGACTTCATCATGGCCACTTACCTAGCAGATCGGGTGATTGTGTTTGACGGTAACCCATCTATCGAGACCCAAGCTAATAGGTGAGCCAGCAGAAGCAACCACCATTGGTTGTATGCAAGTGGGGAATATAGTCACAGCGTATAAAGAGGCTAAATTGTCAGGCAGGCTTGTTCCACAGCTTGCACCATTAAAAAATATTTTTGTGGGGATTTACTTAAATTGGTAAATCAGTTGATGCTAGGGCTGTAACGATCCACCGAAATCGAATCGGATCACGATTCTCTTCCCTTGATCCGATCCTCGATATTTTTTCCTGTATTTTCAATTTGATCCAATCCGCTCCAAGTGTGTATGAGACTCGTGCTCTGATTGGTCAGTAGTCACGACTCGCCAGTCAGCTAATCAGCGGCTACTGCACATCGCTAACACGTTGTTTACAGGGCTCGAGTTTGAGAACTACACCGTACAGATTTGTTATTACTTATATCTGTCAATCTTATTGCATTTGGTGACTGTGACTCTATGAATCTCTGTTTATTATTTTAAGTTTCTGGTCACTTTGAGGGGGGGTAGCGAGATGCGAGATTCGAGAAGATAACTTGTGGTTGTGTACTACCCACTCAGACCTTTGACCAAAATAACAGAAAAATGTCAATCTAACTGGTTAACAACTCTACAATCATACCTACGTGTAATATTGTGTTTTAGATTTTTTGTTACAGTAATTTGACTGGATTATTTTATTGTTTTTCTTTTCGCGATAATCGAAAACCAAAATGGCAATCATTTAGGCGTAGCGCCATCTGTCGCCCAGATTTCAGACTTTCAGATTTGAAACATTTATTTTCGCATTCAAATATTACCAAGAGTACATAATAGGAGAAGAGTATGACACCGTTTTAACAGCATTTTGCATAGTTTTCAACTTGTAAATATTCTATCAATATATGAATAAATATATTCAAACTTTACCTTATTTTCGTCTATGAGTCTCCCTTAATCATATGACACCACAAATTTACCTGAAAATCGTATGTGTTCTTCAAAAAAGTTCTTTGAATACGACACGGTTTCAAACAGTTTCCACAAATGGCAGCATGTGTTAGGCGAAAGTTCGACCAAAGTTGATATGCGGCGGCAACACCAGGTTGTAATCAAGATACAAGAAAGAGACAATAGATCACTAATCCCATACTAAACTTTCGCCTAACACATGCTGCCATTCGTGGAAACTGTTTAAAACCGTGTCGTATTCAAATAACTTTTTTGAAGAACACATACGATTTTCAGGTAAATTGGTGGTGTCATATGATTAAGGGAGGCTCATAGACGAAAATAAGGTAATGTTTGAATATATTTATTCACATATTGATAGAATATTTACACGTTGAAAACTATGCAAAACGCTGTTAAAACGCTGTCATACTCTTCTCCTATTATGTACTCTTGATATTACGCATATATAATTATCAAGAGTATATAATGGGAGATATGGTATATAATGGTGAGCTATAGGGTCATTGACACTTTCATTTGTTACCATCGTTGCGTGTTTGTTGTTTAGTCCGGAGTCACTGCTGATAGGCATGAATAAGTTCTTGCAAAGCTTGGCCATCACATTTAGAAGGGACCCCAACAACTTTAGACCAAGAATCAACAAACTGAACTCTGTGAAGGTGAGTTGTAATACTTTTAATGTAGATGCTAATGTATGGCTACGCTGTTCGGAAACCTTCCTTAAAAAGGTCTGCATGTGAATCTTAAATACAGCAGTGTCTGTTGAGATGTGAATAATTCTAATGAATAATGCATGTTATACTTATTTAAATGACCTTAACCAAATCTCGATTCATTATTGTGGTTAATTCGTTTAGGATGCGGATCAAAAGAGGACTGGTAACTATTTCTTCCTGGAAGATTAGTGACTGACTCAATAGGCACGATACAATGGTACCACCGAGAAAAAGTGACCAGGTTTGGAACCAGGACTTGGTTGGAGCAGCAGGCGATGAGATAGCGGTGCAAGTGTCACGCAGCTTTTTCTCACAATTGGCATCTGAAGAATTGCTCGGTCTAACCTCGGTGATTGGCGGTCATGGGATCCTGGTACTACTCCTGCTCGATAACGACATGGACTCTGGATGCCCTTGGTCTACATATCGGCAACAATTGCCTTCTCTCTATAGCAGCCGGAGAGAGTATCACACATTTATCACAGGGTATAAAGAGGCTAAATTGTCAGGCAGGCTTGTTCCACAGCTTGCACCATTAAAAAATATTTTTGTGGGGATTTACTTAAATTGGTAACGATCCACCGAAATCGAATCGGATCACGATTCTCTCCTCTCGATCCTCTTCTCTCGATCCGATCCTCGATATTTTTTCCTGTATTTTTGATTCGATCCAATCCGCTCCCAAGTGTGTATGAGACTCGTGCTCTGATTGGTCAGTAGTCACGACTCGCCAGTCAGATAATCGGCGGCTACTGCACATCGCTAACACGTTGTTTACAGGGCTCGAGTTTGAGAACTACACCGTACAGATTTGTTATTACTTATATTTGTCAATCTTATTGCATTTGGTGACTGTGACTCTATGAATCTCTGTTTATTATTTTAAGTTTCTGGTCACTTTGACACTTAATTATTTTTTGGCAAAGCTTTGTCCAGTAGGCCCAGTACTTAATTGACGTAGTATATGTCTACCTACAATCAATTTTATCACTCTATGGGAAGGATGTGTCCGGTACTTAAGTATGGTATTCTTTTACTTATAGTTCTACCTACTAAGAATTAATGTTTGGTTATAATTGGGTCCCTATGTTCACCATTAGTATCCATTGGCAATTTCTCATAATTTCTAGTCTATTACTTTATTATTTTAATTATCTGCTTAAAGTGATTTTGTTATATAAAATTAAGAAAAAGCATGAATGTGATAGTTGGTAAAAATGGTTGGTTAATAACACTTCAATATTTTGGGAATCGAATCGAAGGAATCGAATCGCGAGGCTAATATCGAGATACAGATCGAATCGAGAGGTATGTGTATCGTTACAGCCCTAGTTAATGCTGAGGTAGTTTTTAAGATAGGAATGTCCTTATAGTCCATCAGCCCCGGTCCAAAATTTTGGTCACCGGTATCAAATCAGGGGGAGAATGCTTATAGTGATTTTTGGGAAGGTATACACCCCTAGAGTTAGAAAACGTGTGATAGCATTGTGGGGGTGGCAGCTTTATGTGAGTTATCTCCCCTTTTCCAAAATGGCCGCCAAAATGCTAATTAAGCTATACATCATGTTCTAGAGCAGCTAGGATAGTGATTTTTGTGTTTATGACCAGGTATTATGAGTCGTATATTTCATTTCTGTCTTTACCTAAAACATTGAACACACATTTGATGAAAATAAATCCAAGATGGCCGCCAAAATGCAAGATGGTTACCAAAATTGCTGTTTTCAAGCTCGTATAGCAGTTAGAACAGTAATTTGTGGCTATTATTTTAACTAGTCAAAGATTCTTTATTTACCTAAACCAATGAAGCCTTCATATAATAATGCAATCCAAGACACAATGGCGGCTGTAACAAGTGTCCAACCACAGGGAAATG